GTAACTGCCTCTTTGTTTCTTTAAAAAACAATCTACCTCTATCCTAAAAAGTTTGATAGTCGTCCCTGGTTTGTGGCAGCACTCAAAAATTGTACTTCGAGCGAATGACCTCGGCTGGTGCTTCATTGGACTGTTTTGGCGTTTGCGCAATTTCTGACTGAGTGACTGATTGTACTGATACACTCATGAGTGGTTTTGTTCGATAATTTGTTTAAATTACGGTATTTAAAAAAAATGTTTGTGTAAATAATGTTTTCAATTATATATATATAAATATATATCAGGGCCGATTTACCGAATAGGCACGGTAGGCACGTGCCTAGGGCGCGAGGCAATTGGCTTTTTTGGGGGGCGCCAACAATTTGGTAAATAAAAAAAATTGGTGTTTGCATGCGATCACGGTAAACTTCTGATAATCCCTCGCGGCCGTGTAGACATCGTAATAGTCTTCCGCGTTTGCGGCAAGATTCTTACTATTTTCCGTGGTCGGGTCGTTTAGACATAATTATCGTCTTCCATGATCGAGGCAATACATAAGCATATCCAGCGGTCGTGAGGAAATTATCATCGTCTACCGTGAATGAGGGAAAATTCTGATCTTCTTCCCGCGGTCGTGAGGACATTATCCTCGTCTTGCGCGATCGCGGTCAAATTCTGACCACCCTTCGCGGCCGTGAAGACATCATTATACCGTTCCCTGCGGTCTTGTGGACAAAGTAATCGCCTCCCGCGATTGTGGCAAAATGGTAATTATCTCCCTCGGTCTTGTGGGGATCATCATCCTCTTCCGCAAATTAGGCAAAGTTCCGACTTTTTCCCGCGACCGTTTGGCCATTATCATCGTTTTCCGTGATCGCGGCAATATCTGATCATCCCTCACGGCCGTGTATAAATCATTATCGTATCTCCCGTGGTCCTGTAGACATCGTAATCGTCTCCCGTAGTCGTGAAGACATCGTAATCGTCTCCCGTAGTCATGAAGACATTGTAATCGTCTCCCGCGATTGCGGAAAAATGGTAATCATTGTCTTCCAAGAATGAGGCAACATTTTTCCCACGGTCATTTGGACATTATCATCGTCTTGCGCGATCGTGGCATAATTCTGATCATCCCTCACGGCCGTGTAAAAATCATTATTGTATCTCCCGCGGTCCTGTAGACATCGTAACAGTCTCCCATGGTCGTGAATACATGGAAATCATCTCCCGCGATTGCGGCAAAATGTTAATCATGTCCCGCAGTTGTGTGGAGATCATCATCGTCTTCTGCAATCGTGGCAAAATTCTTGCTGTTTCCCGCGGTCGTGTGGACATTATCATTGTCTTCCGTGATCGTGGTAATATTCTGATCATCCCTCACGGCCGTGTGTAGACATATTATCGTCTCCCGCGGTCACGGAAACATCACTGATGTTGTCATGTGCGATCACGATAAATTGAAAACTCTAGGTAGAAATACAAAATTCAGACATAATTCCCGGTTCAAAAAACTCCCGCATGATTCCCGGATTTCCTGGTTGGTGGACACCCTGTTTTATATATATTGCAAAGGGGCGCTACTGTTAGTTGTGCCTAGGGCGCTGACAGGATCAAAAACAGGCCTGATATATATGTAAATGTTAAGTGTAAGAATGTGACCTTAACTTTGCGTGTTAAAATAAAAGATTTTTATTTATTTATAAAGTCTCTTATAAATAGTAGGCCTAAATTTCAGTTTTAGATCAGTTAAAGTTTCTCAAGCAATATTGTATTGAACTAGAACCCCTACTGTGTACTTTCAATACATCATTCTCAGTTTTCATTTAATGTAGTTATGCAGTAAATCCTCACCTACTTGTCAATTTTCGACCCAGAGGTTGTAGAGTTATCCAGAAATTGCAATTTTTAACGGGTTTATATAAATAAATACATAACAGGCTACATTTTACATATATATTTTTTTTTATGTGTGCCTTGTCTGTTGAGTTAGTGAGGTTTTACTGTATGTTTCCGAGTATACATGAGAATATTAATAAATTTATAATAATAGGTAAATAATTATAGACACCAAAAAGTTTGCCAGAACAAAAAGTTTGTGAGCCGCTGCTCTAATGTAAACCTTGATAAGCGGTCTTGGAATACAAAACACATGGTGTAAGTAACAGAAGTTCACCCAGGTTCTTTCAAATCGCCGAGGATCAAATAATGCTCAAACATATTATGGAATGAGTAAATCAGTGAACGAAATGAGTTGTACCCTGGACCGCATAGAGAAAATATGGGGATAGGTTTTCGGAGGTGGGAGTATAAAAATAGCAACTTACATTGGATATAATTTGCCCTTAGGTCGGCCCTTAAAGTATTTATGCATACAGTTTCTAACTAGCAAACCAATCATTCAGACCTTCATCAACAAAATACACCCATAACATCTCAGCCTGAATAGTTATGGCAATACATAAGATAATATAATTTACCTAGTCGTGTAAATCATCAGCTGTTAGAGTAACAAAAACAGATACAACATAACTGTCAGACGAAAAAAAATTGTTTATTAGGCCTAATTTGTGTTTGTGAGTCAGTTATGTTGAATGTATTTTACAACTGATCTCTACCGGTACAAGCTGAATTACAAGACGAGGTAAATGATACCATTATATTGTCATTATATAGTAATCTAGGGGCCCTGAATATGGAACTGAATAGTAAAATCAATCATCCAACATAATAGTAGGCCTTGAATAATAATTAGGCTACTAGAACTGTAAGCGGCTTTTTCCGATGCAAGCTCAAGTTTGATTTGTGAGGCAAAATAGAACAAAGTAGCAAATATCACAAGAATATCAAGCGAAGCCAATCATGTGAGAGTTGTTTGGAGCAAGTGTCAGTAAATCATTTTTCGGTTTGGTAGGTACTATATTTATGAACGAGACTTTTTAGACAGTAAAATTAAAACTAAATTATATTACCTGATTAACATTAATTTAATATATAAATAAATTCAAAAGTGAAAAATAAAAATAAACAAACACTAGTGAGCATGGTGGGCAAATGGAGGACTGATTAAGAGAAAGGAAAAGTACCGGTAAGTTCAAAGAAAAGGAATTTCTCACAGGGTGTGTCTAACCTACTAACCCTACTAATCACTTTGGACAAAAACCTTGCAACATTGTTCTAAGGACTGTGGCATATACAAACCAAAAATAAAAAATAAACATAGATTAAAGATAATTTTCTGTTATTTAGATAATTCACAAACCAGGTAAGTAGGCCAATAGCCTACAGCGGGTAGCCTATTCTTTTGTCTATCACAGAATAGAGCAAATCAAGAAGAAAGTTCATGTCAGTGAGTTAAGTATTGTGAATCAAAAGAGCTGTCCGTATCCAGTCACAAACAAGCAAACCAGTTCAAATTTGAAACCAATGCCACGTTCAGCTACAATTGGTCTAGTCATAATAGCCAAAAAAAGATGTCATTTAAGTTAGGCTACATGTTTGTGCACAGTTAGGCCTATTTACAAGTTTAAAGTTTTTATGTTTTATACAGCTATGGTTTCGGACTTCGGTTTACAGGAAGGAAACTAAACATATAATCCTAACAGACACTATTGACTGAAAGACAAGACTTTGCCTGATTCTATGAGAGGGATAGAATATCTGTCTGTGTGATTGCCTCACCAGCATACATACATACATGATTTCTCAATCAGTAGTCCTTTGCATAAGGAGTTGGACAGGTCATGATAATAACAAAGAATAGAAGCATTGGGCTAAGTTATGTATCAGATCTGCTAGCATAGTGACTAGTGGCTTAGTGGCAGGGCCGTCTGAAGGGGGGGGGGGCGCTGTAGCTGAGGGGGCGCTGCGCAGTGGCTATTTGTATTAACATAGTATTAAAATATGCGAATGCGACTATTACTGTTGGGGGGGAGGTGGCACCACGACCACGTTTGCTCCGGGCGCCTCCAACCCTAGGGACAGCCCTGCTTAGTGGTTAAGAGTGTTGTCTACCTGACCTAGAAACACGGAAACAGAAATTTATGGGTTGTATTACACAGCATCATCCAGGGCCGCGTTAAGGGTCAGTGGAGCCCTGGGCAAACCCAAAAGCAGCGCCCCATTTTTTCCTAGTGCAGGCGGGCGGTGGTGGGGGGGCACCCGATGCGCGTTGCGTCTCCCAAGCGCCAAGTGTCCCGAGCGCCGAAGGCAAATGGAGTATCTCCAGCGCCAAGGCCATAAATTACCAAAGGTTCTGCTCAGTAATGCAGAAGTGCTATACCTTATATTTTAAAATCGTATAAATGAGTTTAATCTGTGAAGCAGTAAAGGTTAGGTTAATCATTCAAGATTAAGTGCGAACATCTCAAAAGTACGAAAGTCGGTAAGCTGAATTAAAAAATATTCATTAAATGTTAATTTAGAATTCAAATTGTATCATATCATTAAAATGTATGTAAAATTAACTTCATTCTGCTCTGATTTTCTACAATACTCAATTGGGCACACGCCTTTACCGCAGTTCATTGCATTTGTGAATTCCAATTCGTCTGGAAAAACTGTTAGATTATGCCAGATAGTCTGCTTGGCGCTGGAGAGATGCGGCGCTCGGGAGATTCGGCGCTCAGGAGACTCGGCGCTCGGGAGACTCGGTGCTCGGGAGACAGAATCCCCCGTGCGCGCCCCCAAACCTCCGGCGCCCCTGGGCCCAGTCTGCCCGTTTATAAAAGTGGGCCTGGCATCATCTCATTTGTAAGTTAACCTCAGGTGTGCTGCTGATAGTTGACACATGGCAGAGATGGTGGAAGAATACAACAGAAAAACTATGGAAAGGACTGCCGGCTCAGACTCAGATGGAAGTTTAAAAGGCTTGTGGACTCTGTGAGTGGCACCTCAGGTAAATATCAGCCTACTTAATCAATGACAGTAGAGTTTGTGACACTCTAAGGTTATAACTTAAATACTAGTAGATTAACCAAAGAATTAAAATGTATAGGTCTTAGGTCTATTTTTTTTAACCTTACCATCCAGGCTGGCAATTGTTTATTGTTTGTTGTGGTTGTTTCTTTAGGCCTTTCCATTTTTATTAGCCAAGCATCCTTATGTAGGGTAAAATGGTTTCAATTTTTTTTTTTTTTTTCTAGGATATTACTGTAGGATTTGATCTAGCTTTCTACTTCTACACATAGGCCTAGAATCACATGCACATAATGCTCAGCACAATAGTAGCCTATTAAATTATTGGGTAAGATGTAAGATTAATTAATAAACAATAATAGGTACACCTTTTCAACTTTAGTTTGTTTTGTAGAACTTCCAAGATTAGCAACTAAACAGTAAGCAGATAAAGCATTAAGATTTAACATAATAAAATAATTGATACAAATATTACCAATATTACCAACAACTAACAAAATATTTCTTTTTTTTATGTTAGCAAAATTGGCGGGCTTTTGAGGGTGTACAAGGTAGTACGAACAATGCAGCCGCGCGGTTTCAGATTTAACATTATTCGTTGTCATTTTGGTTGCTTTATTTTGTTGATTTTGTTATCTACATTCTACAACAGACGAACAGACATTTTGTTTGTCAGTCACATGGTTACACTTTTATCATAAATAAAACATACTCCCTTGTTTTGGTTGATCTTTACTTTTGTCTTTTGTCTACATAGATATTACTACACATGATTCATTATTGAATTTCCCATAGGGAATAAGCTATTACCGCAGGTCTCATTGTAAGACCTAGACCCGGGACCGATTTACTTTTTCGTTTTGAGGTCCCCAGAGGCCAAAAACACCAGGAACGGAAGGTCCTTCCGTTCAAATTCACACACACACACACACACACACACACACACACGCACACACACACACACACACATATATATATATATATATATACGAAATTACAATTATTTTTTATTTATTTTATGTTTTTCAAGAAACATAAAATAAATATGTTTCTTTGCATATTTGTTTTAGATAAATAACTATTTATATTTGCATGTAGAATTTATTGTCTTTCTAAAAACCGTGTTCTTATTAAATTATTCTAATTTGTTTATTTATAACATAAGTGTTATTTATATGATTAAAACTGTTGCAATAGGAAATGTCTACTAACTATTCTGTTAAAGTGACAAAGAAGGAAAAATGAACTGTTTGCTGTCACAAACAAGAAAATGAAATGTAGTAATAAAAATGTGTTTTTCATCCCGCGCGTGCTTTGCATGGCACATGGGATTATGTATTTAATTTAAGAATTGCATGAATACAATTGTTTGAATTGAATTGAATATATATATATTTAACAAATAAATAACACAGTATGGCCATAAAAGAACACTAATTTTTACGGTGCGGCTGCGGGTTCAGGGTGTAGGTACAGACTGTAGACCTAAGGTATGTAACCTCTAGAATTATATTGTTGAGTAATCCGGAAGGCAACACCTAAAAAAATATATATATTTTAATTCCAATGTTTATTCTAGTTTTAGCGAATTTCCCATGTAGAGAAGAAGCTATTAACGTATAGATCTCATGGTAAGCCTGGGACCCGGGACCGATTTACTTAAGTTATGGGACTTTGAAATTTTGTTATAGAAAAGGGTCACTTTGAGAAAAATCATTTTGAAAATTTCAAATACGCGTAAAAACAGTTTTTTTTTTATTTAAGAAACGATTTTTGTATCAAAAGAAAGCTTATAATGTCCTCTTTCGAGGCAAAACAAATTTTTGTCTTAACTCCCGGCCGGTAGTTTTCATTTAAATAATTGTTTTATTGAAGCATGTCGTAAAAATTGCATTTCAGAAAAGGGATCTCTTGTTGGCCATATGTTATTTCTCCATAAGATAAGAAAAGGTACCTCTTGTCGGGACCGCACAATTTGTGAGATATTTCGTTCTCCGTAAACTGAACTTTGTTGCAGTTCTCTAAATTTCATCTAGAGAATGCAGGCCAATTCATTTTTTGGACTAAAGTCTGTTTAGAATAACCTAAAGTGAATATTAGAAATGGGACCTCTGGTCGTTATGGCGAAATAACATTGTGCGACAAGAGGTATCTTTTCTCAGACCGTGCAGATGCTAACAAAATTATTTATTACGACTTTTAACGTCTTCAATTAGATATTTTAACCGAAACCGAATTATTAATAAAATTGTGCCTGACGATGGCCTATACAAATTTGTAATGCCTTCGGCAATAAACGATTCTGATTTCTTGAAGGTAAATGTATTTTCTAGACGTTGTCAGCACTTGGACGTGTTATTGTTCTTATCTGAAAGTTTCTATTTGGCAAGGAAGAGACTGGCCCCCACATTTGGACTGAACGGCAACATCTGAAAATTTAATTGTGTCGATTATGTTTTCAAAAAGCTATGAAAACAGTACTAGACCAATAACTTAACTCATAACACCTCCAGACTGAAAATAAGTTTTGCAGTAGGAGTCTTAGCCCTGAACTTTCTCATTCGTCCAATTTTGGACTACGGACGGAAACTTCAAGTATACAACAAGTAAAACAAATGTACTTTAAACTTTAACACAATTTTTGGAAACGTAAAGATAAATCACACCCTCCCAGCACTAATACCACATCCAGCAACACAAATAATACCCCGCCGCAGCAAACCTGTAGACCAAGTGAATTTCAATTTGTCTGATTCAAATTTTACTAATAATACTTCCTTAAATAAGAAATATCTATTCCCAATTTTAATAACATTAGATTTAACAAGTGCTTAGTTTTGCTGCTACGGGGAAGATAAAAAGTGTTTTTTTACCATACGTCAATAGTATAGGAAATAAATAAATTTGTCAAATTTTATCAACATATCCATAAACAAGTCAACTACAACAGTTTTCATTTCTCCATAAGAATAACATGGGAATTTTATATTGCGCTTTTTTACTCTTCTCTGTGACCGTTAGGCATACAAAAGCGCTTCAATATACTAAATTTATTTTTTAAGCTCTACAAAATGGTTTAAAAAGAAATTGCATTTTTTTTGTTTTTAGAGTTAAAAAATTAGAAACCCCCATTTTACCCCATAAAACCCAGCATAAACCCCTGTTCCCGTGGTCCGATTATGCTGGTTCGCGAACTCGTTCGAATAAACGTACTACGTAGGTTTACACGTTTGTACCAAATTTCATGAAAATCGGATCATTTTTGCTCGAGTTGTCGCGCTAACGGACACACACACACACATATATAATATGTTTGTGCGTGTCTCGTGTATTTGTTTTCAAGACTTTATGACGACCCCCTAGGAGCGACAACACGTCTTTAAGGCTTGACAATGACACCATGAGTATCGAAACCGGTTGCCATCCAGACGACAGTGGATTACAGTGGTAACTAAATAGTTATTTGTGCAACTAGTGAGAAAAGTGGTTTCTCGAGTGAGGCAATTGTACTTTGAACTCGAGTTGCACATTATACTTTTCCTACAGTTACCATAAAACAAATAAATTTGTGAAGAAACATAACCTATTTTTACACAGAAGTGAACTTAATATAACATAACATGACACAACATAACGTAATATAACATTTAATGTGAAGTGACAAATACAACAGTACAACAGCTGACCAGCTGATTTACAGCCAGTGCTGCCAACGCATTTCGCGCGTATACGACGTTGCCTGCATGTTACGCACTCACTATTTCGTGCCTTCACGTTGCAAATCTGGATTGAGACAAAGTAATTAGAGTGAGACAATGTTAACATTGTCTCACTGATGATCGAACTGGCCACTTTGCTTTCTCAAATCAGTGAGAGAACATGTACATTGTTAGGTAACTGTAGGAAAAGGTATTTAACCTCTAGAATTATATTAATAATGTATAGCTATTAAATATGATTCGGTGCTATTGCTTTCGAAGCTATGATACCTTCCCCTTGCGTTATCATTGGTCTATGCGATTTGCGATTGGTGTTTTGGATACTGGAGGTTGAAAGAAAAATGGTAAAAGACAAGACATCGTAAACTAACGATTGCGATATAAAGTCAATGCTACTGTCTGTACGTAGGCTTACAGTTACAGTTTGTTAGAGGTGGATTGAGTAGATGATTTTAATCCGATTGAAATTGAAAACTCAATACTCACAGACTCAGAATCAGATCCAACAACAAACTCGAATCTCGAATCCGATATCGATAGTGTACACAATTCAATATCGATAGTGTAATTGCAGACTCTCGATAGATCGATTCAATTGTATTCTGTCGGAGCGGAGTATCGTAGTAGTATTCGTAGTTCGTATCGTACTGTAGTGAAAAAGTGAACCCGTGAACGTGAACCCTTGGCTATCCGAGTTGTGTGCGTGCAATGCAAACATTATTTATTGTTTATAACCTACAAATTATAATTCCGTAAGTTATCAGCGGCACATTTAATAACTAAGTTTAGTGAAATTATCTGAGAAATGAGTTATTTCCATTCAATTTATACTTATTTGTATTGGATTTTTCGTCCTTGTATCAAGTGGTTTTTGCGGAAAACTACAAAGCTTTGTGAGTTACAAAGAATATGCTATGGAGAACCAGTGGGTTATCCTAGATCTAATGGTGTAGAAGTGTCCTTAAATTTGTCTAAGAATGATCACATTAAAGACTTGGTGCAGTATCTGAATAAACTGAGTGAAGAACGGAAACTCAGTGGTCCTATGCTTAAGGTTGGACTTGAAAAGTCGGTCTATGTAGTTGTGTTTGCCAAGAAAATTAACCCTACTATACACCGCCAGTTTCTCAAATCTTTTGGAAGGTGTGTAGAGCATATTTGGGGCTACCGTCAATTACTTCAAGAAATTGAAAACTGGAGACTAACCATGTATGATTCTGAAAACAAAGACCACGAAGAAAAACTATTGAAACTATGGAAACGCTTGAAGCCAGATGAACCACTACAAGCAAGAGTATCCAAACAGTGGCAAGATATAGGTTTTCAAGGTGATGATCCAAAAACTGATTTCCGAGGTATGGGCATACTTGGTTTGGACAATTTGCTCTACTTTGCAGAAGAGTTTCCAGGACCGGCAAGTCATGTTTTATCACATTCTTTGCATCCACAGTATGGTTATGCTTTTGCGATAGTAGGCATTAATTTAACAAGCATGGCCTACCATTTATTCAAAGATGGTACAGCTAAAACACATGTTTACAATGTATCAAAGAGTTTCACTTCCATCCGAACTTTTCATCAATTTTATTGCTACCTGTTTTATGAATTTGATAAATATTGGCTCCAAGCAAAGCCTAACATTATGGAGTTCTCTTTTGTAAAAGAAAAGTTTGAAGCAAATGTCCGTTCTCTACTGTCAAACCCTTCTGCAGTATGTAGGATAAACATTGCGGTTGACACAGTTTAGACAAAGCTAATAAAGACACAAATTTTAAACCTAAAACAGTATAAGAAACATGTTTATAACAAATTATGCGGACCTTATGTTCTGAAAACTATACTTCAAACTTATTGAAAATGCCTAAAATTTGAAGTTTTGTAGTAAAAAATGCCGAGTGGGTTCTTGAGTTTTCATTGAGCGTGCAAGTTAATGAACAAAGTTAGGCTAAATATTTTTTGAAAGTATGGTAATTTATATTTCTGTATCAAGGTCTAGAAATGGTTTCAGCCTGATGTTGGATTGCGACTGTTGGGCCTACAATAGTCAAATTGTCTGTCTTTATTCATACACACTTCTTGAACAGAAATAAAACTTAATTAGCCTAAAATTTTGTTTCATAAGATGCCTTATCAAATGTTGCACCATTTTATGGATTATTACTATGCATCTACAATCTTTTGAAGGATGTGAATTCCTCTCATGAACGTAGAAAATTTTCAGTAGTCTCAAAAAGTTTGGGAGTATTTTATTTTGTGACGTCAGGCTATAGAGGTTAGATCAAGATTTCTTTACAGAATTACCTAATTTATGAAAATGTGAACCACCAACTTAAAAACAACTTTGTTTAGTTTAACTGAGTTTAAATATACGGGGAGCCACTAATAATTCAGTTTGTCACTACCGGTAGTGTTTTATATTAGGTAGGCTGTTTTAAGTATGTGAAATTGAGGACATATATGAATGTTGTGATTTGGTTAAACAAAGGTTTACATCACATCCATTACTTAAATTGCCTTACCCTTACAATGCAACAAATATCTACAAACTGTAGGGGCTGTTATTAAATATAAGCTAGTTTTACATTTTGTAACATAATGTGAACAAATGGAAATCCAACTGATAGAGAACATGTCAATGCTTCATTTAACAGTATTTAGGTCATATTCTTTATGCACTGACAGAAAAGAGTTTGGACATAACAAGTTTTGGGAAATGATGTTTGTTATAGCCTACTGAGGTCCATTCTGAACATTTAATATGTATAGGCTAATTTGCTTTGATAGAGCTTTAATCCTTGGTAAATTTGTTTAGCAGATGTAAATTTATTTTGGATATGTATTAGGTATATTGAGGACTTAAAACAGACTTGTTTGTTGCATAGAGTTATAGCCTACCTTTCATTAGATGGCGCCATCTCAATCATGTTATCTATCTCCCCGTATAATTATTGAGAAACACAAAATTGTAGACTTAATTTTGATTTGTTATTACCTTTTCATCAGGTTAGGATTGTACTTATCCATAGTTATTCTCTAAAATATTTTGCACAGAAGTTTCTATTTATGTTTATGATAGGCTACTTCAAGTACCGTACCCGTAGGCTTAGTTAAAATTGTGGGGTGCTATTTTCTTTGTTTTTTCCTGACAAATTAATTCTAAACTGAGTAATTTGTGGATGATATAGTAAGTAATTTAAAAGACAACGTATGTTTGTAGGAATTGAACTGTTCAAAAAAATCCTCAATAAATTAATTTAGCCAAAACTGTACTCTTATATAGTTTTCTCTTCATAGTTAAAAATACTATCAACATTAAACTTGCCTGTTAATTTCATTTGAATGGATTCTTAAAAACACCATCAGTTATTTTACTTTTGTAGTAGCCTATAGAAGTATTTAGTTATTTAAAATGTTTAAAACGGAACAAAAAAGGTTTTTGTTTCTGATTGGTCCAGAGCAGAAAACAACATTCCTGCACTTACAAATTAGTAGAACCTCATTTGCTAAGAACCCAAACTTTGCACTGATTTTTTGTGTAAAAAAAGGAGTTGAAAACGATTAAATTCACAAGCGTCTTTTCAGGCTGCGTTTACATTGGAGGCACGCTTGGGCAAGTCAAATAGTGGCACACGCTTGGCCAAACTTGCCCTTTGAAACAAAATTGTAGCAGATTACGGTACTGGAAACCGGTGGTGACTTGACCAGTCATGGTTACAGTGCTTGCCACTAACAAGCTGGGACAAGCTTGCGCCTCTCAAACCACGAAACAAATAAATTTTTTTTTGAAGCAAGCGTGCCTCAATTTGTTGTGATTCAATGACAAACTAGCATAGGTTGTGTATCTGAAAACTGTTGTTTTTTATATTTAAGTGTTGTAATTAGTTGTTTAATTGTTCAAAATGGATACCGAGGCGTTGATTGATACTGTCCTTTTTTATAACTTTTTTATAGTTACAGCATTATCATTGCTGTACACTATTTGCAAATGAATTTTAACGTGTTTATCAAAATATATAGAATTTTATTTTTCCATCAAAATAGACCTGTAATAATGCTTTGATGTAAAAATTAAGCTCCTCTAGGCTTATTAAAATTATACTGTTTTAGTCAGTATAGGTATGTTTTTTATAAAATAATTAATTATGCAAACATTACAATTACCAAATCAGTATTATGCTAGCGATATCTAAATGTCTATTGTGTATTCGTACCGTATTAATGTTTTCTGTGTTCGTGTCCATGTTTTAAATGTGTTTTTAACAAGTTGCAAGATTTGAAAATGTTGTCTTCGCAACGAAACACGTAAACTGTTGAGCAATATCATTTATTGGACTATTTGACTGAGGTATGTAAAAAACCTATTATTGTCTCGTACAAACATTACATCGACTCCTACAGTTTCCTGTTCCCCCCCCCAACTCGGAGTCTAATAATACAAATTTCACTCAATTTTCAAGCACAATGTCCATATCATCTGACATATCAGTTTTGACTGATATGTGATGTAATCCTACTGCGACTAGTGGGGGCGACCACTTGTTCTTGGTTGCTTTGCTCTAGTATAACCACACCATCGGCAACTGCACGCTTGCGCAACTGTGCGCCAACATTTAACTTGCCCAAGCGTGCTTCCAATGTAAACGCAGCCAGGGGCGGACCGGTGGGCCGATACGCCTTCTCAACATTCCAATATTTGCGCCCTCGTTAAAGGAAAAATTCATAAAATTTTTTAAAAAATGAGACGAGATGTGTTTTTAGAAAGCAATAGGAAAAACTTTCAGTAAAAGTAAAAGTTTCAGCAGTGAATAGCAAAACATAAAGTCGGGTGTGAGACCTGAATAGACACTGTTGACAAGCGAGAGCAAAGCAGCTCTTCTCTCTCGTACGTGTAGGCCAGTAGGCCTATTCCGAGTGGAAGGCACTATACTCTATGGTCTGAGCTACTTAAAAACAACTGTCCTCTTGCCTCTTCCCGCGTCATTTTACGCCGAACCCGAAAAAAAACTGCACTGCGACTGCATCCGACATCGGTCGGTGTCACGATGTCGTCTGTGGTAAACAACTAGTGAAGATAATTTAATATTATTTCATATTTGTTATAATATTTAATTATTGCTCACACTATAACTATTTCACTTTAAGTCACATTTAATTTTTGTCAACTCAACTCTCTTGTAAAATGGCGTTTGCCGTGCATGTAATAAATAAATAAAGAGTGTGAGCTGCCAATTAAAATGTGTCTCTCTTTAGTGAGTGTATGATTTGTGTCTCTGTGTCGAAAGCTTCAATTTATTTTTATATTCTTTACCTACACAGAAAACATGAACGAAAGGAGTATTGTAGAACCACTACTTTTACAAAATTTAAATTAGATTTAGTGACAGTGTATTTGTTAACTTAACCATTAGGCCTACACAGTAAAGCTTAAACAGTAAACAGTATTTTAATATGTGGTTACCGCTTATTAATTAATGATTTCAATATGTACTATGGCACTAATTTGGTCAACTTTCCTATTTTACTTACAGATAGCCAGCCCTAAATACAAAAAAATTGATAAATTGATTGAGCCTAAATAAATTGATACCTTCGTAGTTATCTCTAGGCTATGGCTTCCATTTCGTTTGTAGAAATAGGTTAGGTAGGCCTACTTTAGGGTTACAGTTTTGACTTAATGTAATGCTAAAACAGTTTAAGTCAATAAATTGGTTTTGTTCACAGTGAAAGCATATTGTTTGTGTTAAAATAATTTCATAGAAATCAAAAATATATAACTTCTGTTATTTACAGTGCCAAAAAAATACAACAGTTGCAAGTTCAGGTTGTAAACAGGAAGCACATGATTTATATTGTATGCATGCAGCCAAGTCATGCAAGGGAAAATAGTGAAAATACACAAATATAATACGAAAGAACCTAAGAAAATCATTTGTATTTTTATTTTTGTTAGGATATTTACTGTCAGAATAGCACGAAGTCGTGTTGGTAAATAGTCTAAATTTTGTAAACCAAACATTGACCAATAGTGTCAGTTATAAGATTTCTGATTTTCCACTGTTAATGCCTCTAGATTGCCTAAAAATGCAAGTTTACAGGTATAATTTTTAAAAAATTTCACGGGGGAGGACCCCCCTCTATGCAGGGGGGTATTCCATACCCCCAGACCCCCCGGTTGGCGCCTTCGGGCTGGTTAAGGTTTACGCCCTAATAGAGTACCCCCGCCCCTGAACGCAGCCTTAAAAGGTGAGCATTTACCCGTCAAAGTGCACAAAGCCCCATTACCAGTCCGAGTCATACCTTGCCTCACACTACTAGATATTGATAGCAATGGTAACTTGTAATTTCTACCACCTATTTTTGTTGGAAAGTATATAACAAAAGTGAATTAAAGCTTATATAAAAGCCAAGACTTTTTATACTCCATTAGTTAAACAGATAAAAATATGTAAAACACTCAATAATTAATTTTGACTAAAATTGTAATAGGCGTTTTCTGCATCCTAACCCAAATATAAAATCTATCTAACTGTGGTGTATTTTGTGTTTAATAGAAGTTGGATCCATGGATTTTATAGATAATTATTCTTTGATATATCACGTGTAACTTAAGCGATAACAAAACCAAGTGAATCATTTAAAAGCAACACCTTAAACATAGTCTATATTTAATAGGCCAACGTTAATTTTGTGATAGTTGTTTTGAATTTGCGAAGCAACCGACCGCCATGTTCAAGTTGTCCATTGATAGGTCGAGGCACGTAGATTTGCCATCAAACAATAGACAATATGCCTTATTAACATATTCGTTGAAAATAGTACAGCGTCATATTTACAGGTGGGTTACAGAAACATTTCATGTTTTAAGATCGTGAGATTAATTCTTTTTCAGTGTAAAAAAGTCTCTCTAGCAGCCAGTCTGTGAGTTTTTTCTTGAAAGTGAATGAATTATTCTGTTGTTTAAGTTATTCTGGAAGGTGGCTAATGAATTTGGCTCCTTTATAGGATGGTTTTCTTTCAGTAAATGATAGCTTATGGATTGGAAGGGTGAAACCTAGTGCATGTCTGGTGTTGTGATGTAGGTCCCTATGTTGGTTTGTTGGGTGGCTATTGCATGTAGGATGTTTTAACAGATGTGGAGTGACACCATGGTGAGTATTTTTTGTCCTTTAAAAGGTCCACGACAGCTGTCTTGTTGTCCAATGCCAACCAAACACCTGATTGCCCTCTTTTGTTTGATGAGAACACGTTCTAGGTCTAATGCAGTGGATCCCCGCCCCAGACTTCTATGCCATATCTCAGCTGAGATTCAAAAAGAGCGAAATAGGCTAAATTGAGATTTGCCTGTAATTACCTACCATGGTAAGTGTGTGTAACTCTTTTTCACAGTTGATTTGTCGCATATTATTCTCGCAAGTATCCCTGTGCCGTTGCGAGAGATGGGCAGAAAACTAGATAGGGATTAGTTCTACCAGGATTTACAAACACTACATGGTTTCCAATGGTGCAATTTTAATTTGTTGGTGTTGATCACTTACCGCCCGCTTAAAGCGTATAGCTTATAATTTTGTGAACAACCTTACAAGAATCATTTAAATATGGATCGAAAAGGAAACAAATGGGCAATCCTAGAAAAGGACAGAGTATGATATCCTCAATAGTGAAAGAAACACCAAGCCTGAACCCAATTCTAATTGTAGCAGTGATGAAACGCAATGAGCGTATTGAGAACAAACCCTCAAGGTAATTGTTACTCCTCTTATAGCTGCTATTAACATGGGAGATGAAAATATGTGAAACATTTAATTGAGGAAGGAGCTGATGTAAGCTGAGGATACCTTGACAATATAAGGCCATTGTGTCTATCATTACCCTATAAACACTACAAAATAGCTGATTTGCTAATTAAATCTGGAGCCAATGTGTCTGCTTTTGATGGATGAAGGTGAAGGGAGATCTCCTTTGTATCATGGTATAGAAAAAAATTCTGTGTATTATGAAAATCATAATATCAGCAGGATTCTCTAATGATGGTGACATTTATGACAATGGCTTGATAAAACTTGATCCTATGAAGACAGCTTAACACTGTACAGGTTAACAATGTATCAATTAGCCTATTAAATTTCTTCTAGAACAAAATGTTAATGTGGATGCATACAAACCTCAAGGTTTAACACCATTGATTTCATGATTTGTGACATTCTCAACACTATTGAAATTTTGAAACTTCCGATTGATCACGGTGCAGATGTAGATGATTTGTTTAAAAATGATGCAACTCCACTTTTTATAGCTGTGCAATCAGAAGATACGTCTATATTAAAAGTTCTTATAGAGGCTGGTACCAATGT